GATAGTTAACGTCAGATAAGCAAACTGGGAACAATAGTGTGAGAAAACTATTTTGAGCATGATCATTCAAAGATTCATCTAGGAGCCGTGACTCTAGGATGCACTTACACAATAGTAGTGCTCACAATAATCGACAAAGTGACTGATTGGGAAGCATGATTAGTCATGTTGTGTAGTTATGTATCCCCGAAACTCGGCGCGAGAGAGCCAATCGCCGACCCCCATTTCTTGCCCCAGTTTTGATGGCCGGCACCGGCGATCCATCGAAAAACGCACCATCGCTGAACGTGAACAGAGAGGTCCAAGAGAGGGAATCCGTCTACAAGATACATGAATAATACACCATACTTTGGGAATTGAATGTGCTGCGCAAACAATTCTTTTCAAGTATCACACCCCCAATAACGCCCCTTGGAGAGCACCGCCGTGGGAAATCGCTCCAACGATGGCGGCACAACGATCGTCTCTCCTACCCGCGGATATGATAGAGTCCCAGCTGGCTATCATTGATCTTCTCACGGCTATGTTTCCGGGACCGGGCGAGCTGGACTTGCCCGAATCTACATCGCAATGTGTGGATCAACTACGGGACTGGTGTCAAGATCCATCGACCGTGCCGATGGGAATACCTGCCAGCCTCTTGCTGGGAGTGTGTTTGCCGCTGGAGGACAGCGGGAAGACAATCCAGGTCAATGTCTCCATTCCCTTGTACCATGATGGCCCTGCACTAGATCAGCCACCCCCGGCGAAGTATACACTGCGCCAACCAGACTGGATGTCCAAGGCCGAGGTCGCTGCGCTGGCCGCTACGATGCCGCAGGACGACGTCTTTACGGCCTTGGACCATATTCGTGAGGAAGCGACGCGGTTCTTGGAAGCCCAGCCAACAGAGCCGGTGGATCTCCCACCGAGTCAGTCAGGGTCAGGGCCTCTGGTGCGGGTTTGGTTTTACTTTCCTTCCCTATCTACGCGCAAGAAGCGGGATGACCTGGTGCATCACGCGGCAGGTTATGGGCTCACTGGATTTGTGTTGGCGGGCAAACCAGGCGTGTTGTGCCTGGAGGGGACATCGCAGAATATAGATGCGTACATGAGCTTCATCAAAACGCATTCCTGGGGGGATATTCCCAGTCATCAGAAAAAGGTCAGCGAACGATTTCGCGAGACGGAAGGGGTGCAGCGGGTATTTGAGGGGATGGAGGAGATCACGGATTCCCTGGGAGAACGCAGCGGGCAGCGAGCCAACCGGGGGGATATGCAGGCCCTGGAGGCGTGGCTACAGGCCCGCGGATTGCAGCATGCCTTTGAACAGGTGATCTTTTAGACATCAAACTATGAATGTAATTACGACTACTTATTTAGCTATCTCCAGTGTCGTGCGTCTCTGTGTAAGCAGCCAGCAGGCCGCCGTTGTGCGATACGCCTCCTCGGACCTGAAAGCCGAAAGTATTGTCCAGTAAACGCGATAATAATGTCAGCTGCAATTGATATCGTTTTCATTCTACTATCTCTACAGCTGTATGGCATTATGGACATGCCTCGGCCCTCTCCCGCCGCTGACGAGGAGCCCTTCGGGGACCCGTCGCATCACGGCCTGCGTGGCATGCCGCAAGCAGATGGTATACCATCGTTACTATCCTGGCCTTTCATCTTCGCATTGACTTCCAACCATTAAGAAAAGCATTCTGTCCGTAATGGCATAGATGAATTTTTAGATGAATCATCGGCACATTCCGTGCCGCCCGGTGTCGGAAGCGTGGCTTGCCCTGCACCGTCATCCGCAGTCTCCAAATGTTGCTCGAAAACGATGCTGTATCTGTTGGAGACGTTCCACAGCGAAGTAGACAAATTGAATTGACTGGATTATCTCATGGAAAACTATCTACCATATGCTATTATGCCGCTATTCGTGGTGTTCCGCACTCAAGAATCACCTGGAAAAGGAAATGTATCCCTAGCGCAGGTAACCAATAATGATGCTATCAATCGTCTGGGAGCATTTCAGACACCAATATTTCCTGTCTTGACCCCAAAGCAACTCTAGGCGTATGTGTATATTATTTCAGTCCTCATATATATGACATGGCATCTTGAATAAAGCAGTGCATGAAAATTGAACAAAAAAAATCCACTTCGGGTATCCTTGTATGCATATACCCCGTCGCCACAACACCACCATCATTCCTCATTGATGACCAGCAGGCTCGCTACACACCTCTAGCAGCGCTTCCAATGCCGTCCGAATATCCGAACCACTGTAGGAAATACCGACTATATCGCCTGCCTTTCCACCTGTGTCTGGGAGATCCTCGTAGACACAACGCTCAAGTTCGAACATGTTCTTCTGCTCCGGAGGCAAGTTCTGCATTGGCGTGAAAGACAACATACCAGAAGGCCCATGGATCATGCTCAAGTCAATGGTAGTCAGACATGGAAATAGGTCACGATGCTGACAGAGGTACGTTAGCCACTGCGGCGTCAAGCTCGTCACTGACCGCAGACTAAGCTTCTTCAGATTTGTTCGCGAGTTACAGAGGAGGCGAACGAGATCTTCAGCTTGCATCGCAGTTCCCCAGATACTGATTCGTTCCAGGTGATCTAGAGCTGCAATGGACGCACTGAGTTGTGAAAAGAACTCAACGGCGAGATCGGTGTATCCGAGGCCAAGATGTAGTTTGCGGAGACCAGTCGCACTGAGAATCATGTCCATCACGAAAGTATAGTTCTGGGGGGTCAGTTCCTGCTCTAGGTGCAGGTTGTCCAAGGACTTCCAGCCCGTCTGGAAGGCGGCATTGCTATAGAGTGACTTTGGGAGACGTGCAATGTCCATGACTTTGGAGGTGTAATTCATGCCCTTGCCATACCAAAAGAGCTTAACCGGAAGAGAGGCGTCCGCGATGAGGTCAAGGAGGATGCATGCGACATCGTCAGGATTGAAGGTCGGGCTGTCGTGGAGGTCCGCCTTACTTTGGGGTTGTGACAGAATGGGCGATAGGATAAAAGATCGGCAGTTCACCAATTTCTGTGTCAGATCATCCCGCAGCCGCCGGATCAAGGGCATGTCTAGGGGACATCGGAGGTGGCCAGCAGCCGTCCAGTGCCAGTCCATGTTCTCCCCCAGTCTCGGCTCCGGACTCAGGATTACCAGGTGTTGAATATAACCTCGTATCAGCTGGTTCTCAGCCAGTGCATGCAAGTGGTTTAAAGAGTGTGCGGAGAAGTCTGTGTAGTACTCCGCGTACCGTTGCGCAAAACACCGGTTGGTGAGGTGATGAGCGGCACGGCAAGTCCCTCGGAGCGCGGCCAAATCTTGCGTTGCAAGCTCGTGGCAAATCCTCTCAATCATCTCCAACGGAAGAGTAGATAAACGGGAAGGCTTGCACATCATCTGCTCTGAAATAGACTCTAACATTGCGTTCATTCTTTTGGGGTACAAGGAGAAAGGGCCACGGCCAGGCGCAGTCGCGTATGCTTTAAAGGGAGCGAGATGGATGCAACAGGGTCCTTGGAAGTACCTTGGAGGCACACGGCGATCATTGAAGCGTCGCAACCACCATCTACCTTGACCCCACACCCAGAAGAGAAAAGCATCATCATCGCGTGGGAATCGTTAATACCACTATGATATCAGCAAAAGACCCAGGGAAAAAGTGACACTAGAGGTGTGTAGCGACACTTCTGGTTTCTTAACATACTATGTGGTTTAGCATTCAGCCTGCTAGCACTTCATAAGCAACCCTCTACCAGCTAAAATGTATCCAGCATCACTATCAGTTATTTAATAAAGTGATGGGCCCCCAGCAAGAGATGGGCATAACCATCAATCGCTGGCTTGTTTCACCCAGACAATGATATTGTGGCCTCAGGCAGCAGCGCAACTCAACGATCCTGACACGTGATATCCTAGACTGCCGTCCCGACAAATTGTATTTTAATTGATCACTATCGGTCGATACTATAAGATCTATGAAGAACATTGTTAGCCTAGAGCTCGCCATCTTCATGTCATGTAAGGGCGATATTGGTAGGTAAGAGAGACTGCATTACTCACATGGGGTGTCATGGCAAGACCCCGGCATGACAATGACAGTGATGGTATACCACAAAATGGATGCAATTTACTCCAATGTCACTGGTAAGGATGCAAGAGCGTTCATACTATTTGTATGTAACTCATACCAGCATCCTTTTGATAACGATGGAGCTATGCCCCGTAGTTGACCTAACTTCTCCTCCGTGGGTCATGGTGAGTGATTGCAGCAACGCCCACAAGTTCCAGGTTTGTCTAACTTAGACCCCACCCAGCAGAACATATGCATAAATAATTTACTTGTGACACTAAACTTATCCCGAACAAACGTGGAGTTGCTGTTCCAGCATTGTCGCTGGCCTGGTTCATCCCAGTGAAGCGTGGTGGGTAATGCAACATGGGGGCGGTATCAACCACAACCTGATTTGTCCAGTCGGCTAATCTCCAGGCTAGAAATGTGATCATCAAGGAACCCTTCACCCGAAGCAGAAGGTCGAGCGAGTCGGCTGGCAGGGCTGAGAAAGCTTGATTGCGGGGCTGAAGTCAGCACTAACTCCAGGCAGACGCGAAAGTGTACTAGTGGTTGCAAATATATCCACGTTCCGGCCGAACGAGGCTAGAGAATCTGAGTGCTGCTTAGCTACAGTTCATGTCCTTAGGAGGATTCCTTATTCAGCACTAGTATCTCACGTACATTTTGTAGCAGCACGGGAAGAACCTAAGTACAGACAATCGAGTAGGAGTAAGCCGAGCTACTGGAAAATCGAAGTCATTTGTGATATTGTGGTACCTAAACGCCGTCACTGCGTTCCAATATCGGCGCTGAAGGTGTTGAATGGGGATGCATAAGAAGTAGATACAGCGATGCGCACATGAGCAGGGGGAAATTGGTCCTTTGTTCCTTGTCTCCCACAGACCCTAAGCCAATAAGGGGTGACCCTGTCATTCCCTGGAACTGTTTCGCTTTTGGCTAATCCGAACTACCGCAGTCAGCCTTGCCGGTGTGGCCTAAACGCGTCCATTCATAGAGAACATCACATATTTCGTCTTCCTCTTCTAAAGCTGCCAGATCAAGCGGCTTACTACCTTGGGCGTCTTCCACGCCGGGGTTTGCACCATGCTCCAGGAGCCAGTTCACTGCCGGGAGATTTCCTTGGTAGCTGGCCGCATGAAGGGGAGTGCCGCCGAAATGTAGGAATGCAGGATAGCCGAATTCATTCACGTCGGCCCCACGCTGTAGCAGGTGCTCCATGATTGGTATGGCTCGTCCATCCTTCCTACATGCAGCATAATGTAACACATTACTGGTGCGGATATTGGCACCGTGTTCAAGAAGGAGGTCAACAATCAATGGGCTACTTCGACGGGACGCCATACCAAGGACTGCCCCTGAGCCCTTCGTAGGGGACCGATCTGGCTTCTCAAGGTCATTGAATGACTGGGCATTCGGGCAGCCGAAGGTGGGGTCGGCACCTTGTTCAAGGCACCAGTGAACGAGCCGTTGGTCGTTCTTCTTCACAATGTGTCTGTTCTTTTGGTTAGTCCATGTGATCACCAACAGGCAAGCAAAGGATACCCACACAAGTGGCACTGTATTAAGGGGATGTAGCTGAGTCTCAAAAGTGAGACCGTGGTCTAGCAAGGCCTTGACTGCCTCAGCTGAGTGTACTTCATCCACGACGCTGGGAGACTGGGGCTTGGCGCCAGCGTTTAGTAGATGGCGCATAGTGTCGATGTGATCGCCCTGGGCAGCTTCCCTCAAGCCCATGGTCAGAACCTCTCGGTCTAGAGCCTTGGCCTCCTGATTCTTCTTAACTTGGGCCAAGTCACCGTGACGGCAGCTCTCCAGGAAGGGCTGATTAGCCTCCTCCAGCACTTGAAATGGAAGTGACATTGTGCGTGATTGAACAAAAGGAACTGATTTTTGGAATGATGGTGAGGATGGTGAGGGAGTGAGGTTTTGTTGGGTTTGTCAAATCCGTGCGCGGCGGCCGATGAAGGCCCGGGGGGCGGTGGATGTTGCGGTGGAGAAGCTAGGCGTGGAGGCTGCAGCAGCTACAGTCATCGACCTTTCGGCATGGTGAGCAAAGTTTCCAGGCTCGATGTAGTTAAGCATGCTTCTGGGGGCCAAAGAGCAATGTAGGCCATGTCGCTGGTCGAGTGGCCAGTCAGTATAATGAAGGACTTTGTGGTCCACTTCCTACGCTGCATCTCAAAGTGTGACGCCAGGTCCTCCCTCCACCGATTTCGCACGCCTCTCGTGGGGGCAGGAAACGCATAGTTGAATGTGGTATCTGCGTGTAAAATCCCGCGCGTACAGACGGCACCAAATCACAATATTAAAAGCTGATTCTTCCAGCCAGTGGCCCTTTGAACAACCACAGTCATTCATTCCTAATTTTCCTCTACAATGGTGGTTGGCTTGAAACAGGCTTTGCTTCTTGCCCTGTGGGCTAGTGGAGTTATTGCTGGCTCCGGTTCAGTCGAGCAAAATGGGAGCGCCCTGAGAGCCTCTGCTCCTACTATAACATCAGTAACTTCTGCTGTGGAGAACATCCCGTTCTTCTACGCGGCGGAACCTCCGGCAGTGGCGGTTGACAATGGCGATGGCAACAGCAAGGAAGATGAGGACGTTGGTGAGACCTCAACTGAAGTGGATGTCAATCAGCTGCACCTTCGCAGCCACAAGGGAAGCAGTGGTCATGGCAAAGGAGGTCATAATCATCACTCGAGAGAGACCAAGACGAAGACGAAAACGAAAAAGAAGACCACTAAGACAACCAAAACCACCACGAAGGAGACCATCTCGACTACTACCACGACCAAGGCGCACAAAGCTACCACTACCACAACAACGAAACAGAAGTCTACTACTAGTACCAAGGAAAAAGAGACCTCGAAAAGTGAGCAGCCTGCCACCCCGAAGCCGGCCGATTTCACCTCGAAAACATCGAGTAACGAGGAGGACCATCATACTTCCACACGTACATCCACGAAGGGAAAATCCACCGGCGTCACCAGTACTCACACCACCAAGTCTCATGGCCACTCAGACTCCGCCTCAACGAGCAAGGCTACCAAGTATACGGTCACATCAACCACAAAGCAATCATCCCACTCCCAGACTTCCACTTCATCGTCTGCATCTGCGTCCGCAACCGAAGTGCTCTGTGGAACGGACTGTTCCAGCTGTTTGTCCAATGATATCGATGCCTCTTTTGGTTCCACCAAGCGTCCTGGTCATAGGAGCCTCATACGTAGGCTCTCATCATACTTGGAATGGATGCAAACGGAGATGAGAAAGGGGAAGCTGTTGGCAAAGGATACTTCGAACATGAAATCTACCTCGGAAATTATAGGTTTTGGTGATGATCCGTTCAACTTCAGCCAGATCAATATCCGAGGCTGTACGGTCATAGTTGTTGTGTCGAAATATGCCGTCTATCAGGCCCATCTGTGGCAAAAGCCGGGATTTGTTGTTGTCAAGGAAGGTCGAGCGGTCTTGGATGAAGAGACGTTCAAGACCAAGATCCTGGATTATCTGGCCTCCGATGCAAATCTCAAGGACGAGCGCTTAACTGGGTCGTCCAAGTATTCGAGCCCCGACACCAAGGTTTACATTGGAACCCCTTTAGCCCGGACGGGTAAACAGGCTCCACGGTATCCGGAACAAGTGAAACGCATCGCTGCGCAGGTCAACTCGGTTCTGGGCTTGTCAGCGGAACCCACGGAATATGACTACGAAACAATCAAGTCCAAAGATGACAGCGATGAAGCCATGAGCAGCGACATTACCTATGGTGAGGGTAAATTTCTCTTCCAATATCACGGCAGCTGTGCGAGTCCCACCTGGCAGGTCTGGTATGGGGGCAAGGCCAGTGGCCCCATCTGGGAAGCTTCGCAAGGCAGTGCGCAGAAGCGGTCGGATTCGTGCTCTGTGTTGTCTTCGGCCACTCCGGCCACTGCCACAGCAAAGCTCTGAGCGTTTCCACGCTTTCCAACGTGCTTGGATATGCTGTTGAGGCATCCGAGGGGGTTTGAACACGAAATATAGCCAGCCGATCATATTGTACCACGTTGACTATCTGTACCATAGTATCGTAGTAGTCAAATTAGTCATCCTTCACACTTGACATGATAACATACTTGAGATGTTATTTCATTAATGATCCAGTGCATAAATATTCAAATCTGTTCCAGTCGCAGAGGAGATAAAGTTCCGAAATGTAAAGGGGATAATCATTTGAAAGAGTGGAGATGGAGAGATCCTGACTAAATGTGATCGCGCCAAGACAGCCGGTGCGCCGTGCTGATTCCATTGGTTGACATCCTGAAGTTCTGAAGGGCAAAGGGGAGAGGCCCTTCAATTACTCCCTCCATTCGTTTTGGCTCACGGACCCTTTGGCGATGCACGGCACAACTGCCGGGGACCAAAGCAGTGCAGTGTCTGTCATCTGTGCTATCTGAATATCGTGAGCGATTGATATTACGCAGTACTATATCCGCCAGAATGATTGCCAACCTAGCCATCGTAGTGGTCTTCGGCATTGATCTGATGACTCTGCTATACATGATCACCCAGCATCAGCCCAGCAGACGAGCAGAACCTGATGAGACGCGGCCACCTCTCAAGCTCCCGCTGATCGGTGATCTTCATAGCTCTCCGATCGATAAGCCCCTCGCCAACTGGGACGACTGGGCGCGGCGAAATGGGCCCATTACCGTTTCCAGGCTATTTGGGATCGCCCCAGTCGTGATACTCAACTCTTACGAGGCGGTCACTGAATTGTCAAGTCGCCGCAGCCAGTGGTATAGCAACCGGCCGCGTTCGGCGACGATGGAGATAATTACCGGAGCAGAGCCCGGACAGTCTCGATTCACTCTGATGCATGACTACGATGATCACCTCAGGCTGCATTCACAGACTGCTAGCTCCAGTCTTGGGGCCCTCGCGGCGCCGAGATATCAGCCGTTAACGGAACTAGAGAACAAACAGTTGCTCTGTGACCTGTCTGATGCTCTCCACGGATGTCCTGATGGCGCGACCATCAGCACAGCAACGATCTATCCCCACCTGGAACGCACCCAGTCAAGTATTATTCTAGGGTTACATTACGGCCTGCGAATCCTCCACCCCCCGAAGACGAACTTCTGCAGGAAATTATCGGCATCCAGGCCCAAGTGACCCATCTAGCTGCTAATCCCAGCCTACCAGATCTTATTCCAACCTTGCGCCAACTGCCTGAATCTACCTCCCTGAAACGTGCCGCCGATGAGCTCTTCGCAACCCAATTGGACCTCTACACGCGTCTATTTCATCGGGGGAGGGACTCAGACAGCTGGAACCCCAGAGGAAGCCCTTGCAACGGCCGAGAAGTACACGGCGGTACCAGGTCTGGACCTTGCATTCGCTCTGGCCACATCTATCCAAGGTGGGATGGAGACTTCTTCCCGTCAACGCAGAGGCTCAACGACGGTCCGACCTCCCGCTGCCCGTGTTTGGGCAGGGTTGACGCATCTGCCAGGGCAAGAGAATTGCTACAGATGGGGCCTTTCTGCAGGTAGCCAACTTGTTGTGGGCGTTTGATATTATGCCGGTGGAAGGGGAAGAAATGGATCCATGGGCCATGACTGTCGTGGGTTTCATGACGATGCCCAAGGAGCTAAGGATGCGGCTGAAGCCTCGCGGTGACTGGGTGATGGAGGCCATCAAACGGGGACCTAAGATCGCGGCGGAGGACTTGGATCAAGTGGTAGGGTCTGTCAACGATGTGGAGGGGTAAACGGATATAGTATTGATTGCTGTTGATGTTAAGAGGTACTGTCGGTTAAAGGACTGATGGGCACAGGTTAAGGTATGGTCTAACGGTGTGGCGTGGAAGCACAGTCTAACAACATGGTAGATGAGTCAGAAAAACTTAAATTAGAGGAAAGTAAGAATAAAGTTGGCTATGAAGTAAGCTTGAAACTATAACTTTCTTGTTGTGAGTTTGGATTTAAAGATGCGGCCCGGTCGCCGAATAGAAAAAGCAAAAGGGCAAAAACAAAGTACTAGTTTTGTACGAGAAGACCGAAAAGCAGAGCAGAAACAAACAAAGCAGCCCGCCAAGTCAGCATAAGATTACGAATAAGGCTTATCAATGAGATAGACAAGGCAGAGGATCATGAATTTTGTTGGATGTTGGACAAGCAGGGAATCTTAATAATATCTTATTATCTCCAGTCAAGGGCAAGGGATTGCCGACCGCGGCCTGATTCTCCGCATTCCCGACCGGCCCAGCGACTGGAGAGAGCAGCCTCTCGTTGTCCGGGATAAGACCCTACACAGTCTCGCTGCAGTCAAAGATGGACGATAAGTACTGATGGGGGAGACCCCCGTGGCTATAATAACATGGAATTATACATTCACGGATGAAGTCAGTCCTCCGTCATCCTCGACCGACCGACCACCCCGCCCCCTTCCCGAAATATAAGTCTGATGCAGAAAGTATGAACACCGATTCTTATTTTGCAAACGATCGTGCATGATTACTGTTTCATCATGTCGCTGCTCACGCTGCACGTCGGCAGCAGCCTGGCACAGGCAGTGCTGACCATTCTCATGACCTCCTATGGCTACGCCGCTACATTCGTTATGTCCTTTACCGTTTGTCGGCTCATTCTATTTGGCAGTCTCTTGCCACTCTATCTTGGGAAGCTGTCATGCACTATCATCCCCACAGTGGTTCGGAACTTCCTCAGCCTGTTCTCCAGTCAAGGGAGGAAAAGGCTTATCCGAGAGGCAGAAGAGTACCGGGGTCAATGTGAGTCTCTGGCCATCGCCCAGTGCCAAGGCACATATCGCTTCAGCGAGTCCAATTTGTATCGACTCCGTCCTCAGGGACCAGGATGGATGCCCGACTTCCCCTGGGCTGATTGCATGGTGGAGATGGCCATCTGTGGAGCCACTGTCCGCTTCATGCATCAGAAACCAACACTCGACGGTCCCGCAGGCCGCAGGCGCCCGATCATCTTCCTGCATGGGAATCCGAGCTGGAGCTATATTTGGAGAAATGTATAGATATCAAAGATCGATCTTCAGATTAGAGTATGGCTGACCCCAGCAGATCCTTCCTCATCTGCTGGACCAAGGTCATGAAGTCTATGCGCTCGACTGGCTCGGGCACGGTCGCAGTGACAAGCCGACCCATCCCGAATCGGTTACCTTTGAACTACATATTCACACGCTTATGCAGTTGTTCAAGGTCCACAATCTCCGCCATGCAACCATCGTCGCGCATGACTGGGGTGGGTACGTCGTTGACCCCGCTAGTATCTCTTGCTGTCTCCGTCCATGGCTCATTGTCTCCAGGTGCGTCGCATTGTGCGCAATCCCGCAGCTGCCTCAGATGGCCTGCACTTGCCTCCTTCTCCTGAACTCCTTTCTGCCACCGCGTCCGGACGAATGGAACCTTCACTACAGCTTACTCTATGCCATCTGGTTTCTTTCGACGGGCCTCCTGGGCGGCTATATGCCTGAGTGGGGAGTGATGCGTTTCATGTCCCCACACTTGTCGCAATTCGAGATCGATGGGTACAGTGCGCCATATCGATCTCTCCCAGTAGCCACCAAGGCCAGTGTCTTCCGGTTCGGGCACATTGTCCCGGTTACACCGCGCTTTGCCTTACATGGCCTCCGGCAGACGCGGATCTGGAAATTGTTGGAGGGTCTCTGCGGACCGCGTCATTTTGACAACCTAAGTCAACAGGCCAGACTGGCAAAGCGCGGGGAAGAGGTCCGACAGAGCTGGAGAGCGTGCCTCGGAAAGGGTAACCCAGATGTTTTGGTGGTGTTCGGAGAGCAAGACCCGCTCTTGAAGCTGTACAAGGACATCCTCGTCGATTGCATCCATCCGGCACATATGGTTGAATGGGCGCCACAGGGCATATGGCTTTCTGGAGGAGGCCACTACCCCATGGAAGAGAAAGCGGCTGATATATCCCTCTTGATCGAAAAGCTTGCAAGCCAATGATACAATATGACCTAGATAGTCATCAGAGGTTCTGCTCTGCTAGCGAGGGGACAATCCAATTGCAAGCAAAATACCGAGTTGGCAGGCAGGGAGATTGAGTGCTATTGAGGCAGAATTCACAGATCATCCATTCGCCAAAAGCGAAACAATGTCATAGGTCACTCGATGATACATACTCCGATGGATTGAAAACTGAAATAGTGTCGCGGTTTACGAATATAGTGCTGCATTGAATCCCTCTCCGATCGGCCGAGTGGTGATCCGAGCGCGAGTTTGTTGACTATCGCGAATTGTATCGTAATGGTCCTGGGATTCTCGCTTTGCTTACCACCATCAACAAACCATTTTGCCACCAGTCTGTCAGACAGCCGCTGAATGAGCGACAACTGAGTCACTGCCCTTCATGTCCTACAGAAGGCAGACTTAGTCCAGCGAAACAGTGGCTAATTTCGTGTGCATATGGGATACATGTCACGGGAAATAAGAGATTTTAAGTCCCACAGCAGATAAGTGAAGTATATGTTCCAGCTCGACTATTATTCCTTAATACTGTGAGTTCAGAGGCAAGCTAGGTCTCCACGTGAAAGAAACACCTTAGTATGAATGAAAAGCAGACTAGGTATCTCGGCTCACACAACCCAATGCCCTCAACTGCATCAATAAAAAACACACCATTCGTGCACCCTACTGACTTCACCCTAATTTCCTGTTTCCAACTTTTCCACATGTTGAATGCTTCGGAAAAGGGAATAAAAGCAAGAGATTTCAAACCTAGGGGCATGTTTTGGGGAGTACAACGACATCCTGAATACCATATGGCTTATTTAGTACGACTCCATAGCGTCTCCCTCACTTCTCTTCAGACCACCGCCAGCCAGCGAAATGATAGCATCAGTAGGGATAGCCTCGTCGTCTCGCCGCTTGAGACCACCGCCTGCCAAGGAAATAATGGCGTCAGTAGGAATGGCCTCATCACCACGCTTCTTGATCCACCCGCCGCTGAGCGAGTCAAGGGCGTCAGTTGGAATAGCCTCATCACCACGTCGCTTGAGGCCACCACCAGCGAGTGAGATGATGGCATCAGTGGGAATAGGTTCCTGGCGGCGCCCAAGCAGGGTGGCCAGAACGTCAGCTGGGACATCCTCATCACCACGTCGCTTCAGGCCACCACCAGCCAGCGAGATGATGGCATCAGTAGGGATAGGTTCCTGGCGGCGCCCAAGCAGGGTGGCCAGAACGTCAGCTGGGACATCCTCATCACCACGTCGCTTCAGGCCACCACCAGCCAGCGAGATGATGGCATCAGTAGGGATAGGTTCCTGGCGGCGCCCAAGCAGGGTGGCCAGAACGTCAGCTGGGACATCCTCATCACCACGTCGCTTCAGGCCACCACCAGCCAGCGAGATGATGGCATCAGTAGGGATAGGTTCCTGGCGGCGCCCAAGCAGGGTGGCCAGAACGTCAGCTGGGACATCCTCATCACCACGTCGCTTCAGGCCACCACCAGCCAGCGAGATGATGGCATCAGTAGGGATAGGTTCCTGGCGGCGCCCAAGCAGGGTGGCCAGAACGTCAGCTGGGACATCCTCATCACCACGTCGCTTCAGGCCACCACCAGCCAGCGAGATGATGGCATCGGTAGGGATAGGTTCCTGGCGGCGCCCAAGCAGGGTGGCCAGAACGTCAGCTGGGACATCCTCATCACCACGTCGCTTGAGGCCACCACCAGCCAGCGAGATGATGGCATCAGTAGGAATAGCCTCATCGCTTCTCCTGCCCAGACCACCACCGATAAGAGACTCCAAGGCGTGGTCAGGGATAGGCTCCTGACGGCGGGCATACTGACTGTTACCGGTCTCATACGGACAGATCTCGGTATCGGTGCACACGGGGCCGGGACCAGTGGGGATGTCGACATCCGCATTGGCATTTTCATTGTTGGCCTTACCCTTGTTTTATAATCAGTCACTACACATAGATTTGAGTATGCATGGTCTTACCTTGGGGACAGGCGCTGCCAGCACCGAAGTAAAGAGAATAACTGCAGTGGCCAAAGAGGTCTTCATAGTGAACCGTTTGATTTCTGGAGTTTTTTGGGAAGTGGGACTTGAGCTTCTGGTGTAATTTCGTGATGGATATATTAGATTTGAAGAGGAATCGCTCGTTTTTTATACCTCGTGTCTATCGAGATATTCCTTTTCTTTTGCTTTGTGACCAATGTCACTATCGGGTAATGTGTGCGAGGCAACTATCCTTCAGCTCATGTTGATCAACCTACAGCAATATCACTCAGTTCAAGAGAGCTTGTTCTACATTCAACAGGCAGGTCGATGATTCGAGAGCTCTCCCCCCATAGCTAGGCAAAGGGTAGGTCTCACATGCGGCGGGAGATAGCCCGAACTCCGCGGCATTTCGAAAGACAGGGTAAAGCGCCATGTCCGGAGCCTTACGTATTCAATAATCCTCTTGGATGCTAGATGAGCGAAGAAGACCGGGTTGACTGTGCTGAAGCGACTGTGGTAACGAGAGGGGATCCCCGGGAGGGGTTCGGCTTCGAAATGCCAACGGATCAAGAACTGCCTGATTCGTGCCAACCTCATGCATGAGCAAGGAAAACAAGCAATTCAGACCAACTGAATCTGAAGAAGACAATCATTGCTCTCAACTTAACCTGCAAGTAGCATGTCCAGTAGTGGGGACTAGTTTCTGCCGGATCTTACACCCGCCGAGGAGAACTAAGATGAGCTAAAATCTCACGGGTAGCCGGTGATCCTCTCGGCCGCGTTCAGCCCAAGAAAATACACGTTCGTCTTTAGCGGCAAAGTGTGATAATACACAAAACAATACATACATGGCGCCATTTATACTACTAATTTGGATTACGGCAATACGCCAATCGTGCGACAAGGACATGTTGACCTGATTCCATAATCAGTAGTAATGTGGCGTCATCAACTGAATCCGGCCTCCCTATCCAACAATATCTTGTCGACGACCAGAAAGGGCAACGTTACTCTCCTGGATGACATGTAACTAGGTATATATAACATATATGAACTGTTTTGGTGACCCTCATTGTCATTTTTTGTCCCCATGATGCTCCATGGCTAAGACACGACATTGGACCTCCTCGGAATAAGCAATTAACAGCATCGGAGCAGCTCAGAGATGTGCTGGCTATCAGTAGTCACAACGAGCTCGACTAGTATGATTTTGTTAGTAGGGCTATTGGCAAATGGCATGGTCCTCGATCTGCACCTCCGGAACATGAATGTGCTAACATGTGTAGTCGGTGTTACGGAAGTCCAGATGCCGACCAACCCACCACACAGAACCATTGAATAGGAAAGATCTACAGGCCACCCAAATCCCGGCCTTTTGCCACACAAATAGTTCATTTGCTTAGGCTCAGATGAATGATAGCACATGCATGCCTATTATAATAATAAATAATCCTGCGTCATCTCAGTACGGAAAAGGAAAAGCCGCTTGTCTGTTCATGGATTTTCTGGCTCGTGCCTTGTCCAACATGGGACTACTCAGGAACCGGGAGACCACACCTGATACAAGCCCATGTTAACGAAGCTGTCAAAGTTATATCAAAATATATTCCTCTCCATTATAGTGAACCGTATAGCCGTGTCTCGAGCAGCTGGGCCCTTCAACTTTCCGGCTAGCAATGACAACGGAAAAAGTTAGATGGTTGGTGAAGCAGAACTACCAAAGCGGAGGATTTCCTCAAGAGTATCACTGTCTGTACCTGTTTCGGTGAATCCCGAAAAATATGAGATTATGCATTAGTATACTGGCTTGTCCTACTTACATGTACTGGTGATTGGCCTTCTCCCCACCTAGACGGGACTATCAATGTGGCATCTAAACAACAAAAGGAAAAGGCCCGGGCTACCAGCCAAGTCGGATTCCTTCGCCCGAGCATCACCGAGTAGTGGCCTGGGATTCGAGCTATGAACCTGTTCTCGCAAGCTGCGGATAGAGATCAGTTCCGCGATATGGCAGAAGGGCGAATGCAGACTAATCCACAAGTACAGGCTGGGCCCAGGCACGGCATCCAAACTCTAGCTTAACATAAAATTGTGTCATCAGGTGCCTATAGCCATGAGACGCCCCAATAGCGTCAATGCGTGTACACGTCGTCAAGTACCACAAAAGGTGCAGGATCTACAATGTACATACGTTCGGGGGTCTTCGTCTCCTATATATACTTCTCGTGAAGAGGATTAGATCAAGGAAGTAAGCTCGCCATCAAGTCATCTCACATTTCTTTCTTTAAGCTGCCTAAATGCCTTCCCGTTCCTGCGATATACCGAATAATCACATGATGTACGAACAAATTGCTGAGCGCTCAAGCTTCGAATCACTTCCTATTGTGAAGGATACGCCTAAGCGGAGGCTTAGGTATCTGAAGGTGGAAGGGATCTCGACCATTATACTTCTTCTTCTTGCCACATTTGGGGTCATTGATCTGTGTTACCAAGCATTCAGTAGGATCTACACTATGAACTACATCCATATCCATGCAAACACACAAACCGAGCCAGATATATCCTGTAATTGCGGAGACACCGTTACCGAGGCCCTTTCAAACAACTGCAAATATGATTCTCTAGCTGCGGCGTGGCTTCCGCCATCTTGTCGGAACGACAACCTCACCCTGGCTTTTGAAAAGGCGGGTTCAAATCCGGATGGAAGCTGGCCTTACTTTGCTGATCTGAACATGACGCGACCGCTGTCACTGAAAGAGGTGTCTCTACTTCCTGATACTAGGGTAGGGGGGGGAGAGGCAAAAAATGTCTTTTTCACGACCCGCAGGTGGCATTTAGTGCACTGTATGTATTATTGGAAGAAAATGTTCTTGTCGCAGCAGCTGGGAACAACAATCGAGAGAAGATATAACAATGTGGGGCATATTGAGCACTGTCTGATGGCTGTACTAAAACAGGAAGAAGGCCTGGATGAGCTTACCACGGGGGCTGGAGTGGCGTTGCACTCGGATTGGATCAATGGGCGGCCGGATATACAAGACCATGACCATGAACACGACCACAAATAATAGTGTCTGCGATTTATTATCTACAAAAGAACAAGCCTCTGAAATTCCCGTGGTCACTCAGATAGCAGTAACCTGTGTTTGTTGGAAAGCGGTGTCGCCTATTCATTTTGAGACTGCAACACTATGGCATGATTTCTTCTGAACTGTGTTCTTGGCAATGAAGAGTGTGGCGTCTTCCTGCAATCACGACAGGGACTTACAAATCTCATCCACTAGCTGACGGAGACAATTCTCCACTCATGATAAATAGACGCCCACATTCCATACCGGTTGTGCCTCTGGAGTGATTGTATTGTCGAGCAGGGAGATATTGTTGCTGGCTCTGAATAATTAGAACTCCTTACTTCAACTTCAAGTATTGAATATGAAACACCGCTTACATCGATACAAAAGTGCCCAGTCAGTGACTAATCGTGATATAAATACTACACACCTAATTGATTTCCTCCATGTAATGCGAGAAATAGTGATAATACGGGAACGCTGGGGCCTTCGTTGAAGTCCAATACTCGGGTTTCCAAGGTGAAACTAGGATAGATTCATGGCGACAGCCCTACTTGATCTTCTAGTAGAAGTGTACATTGTCCTGTGTATCTTGCATAGTGATTTAAGGCTGTCATGGCTACCAAATCTGAGCGCAGAATGTAAAATTGTAACACCATAGGTCCACGGATGTCGCTGGTCTGGACACCATGATAGCATCTAACGCGACATAAAACATCTCTGAATAGGTAACTGTAGCGTCATAATCATGTTGGTGATAATATGCACCAGGCGGCTTGAAAGGATACAAACAGCGAAGAGACCCAGGTCCAGGCTAGTTAATCCACATAATATTCCGTGATGTGGACACCCTACAGCCCGAGATGCTGTCTGCATAACACACTTATCATTGCACCTCACAGGACCTTGCTCGTTTGTCAACAGAGATGTGTATTCATCACAGAGGAGAATGGTATACTATATCAACAGCTCAGTCTGGAAGCCGGTCCTAGAGGGTGCATCTGAAGATGACCTCCTGATAAAGCTATCGCAGCGTAAATTGGGTAGCTAAAGTAACAGGTCAGGCGGGGACCATATTGGAGAAGTAAGGCTCTATTTTGCTAGCTCTGTGCAGCTTGAAGGATACACTTCTCTCTCTAGAAGGGCAGGAGAGGCATTCAATATTCCAGTGCATCTTCCAATATTGCGGTTAAGATATTTACGGGCAGATTATAAAGTGATTGACTGGGGAGACCTAATCCCTAAGTTTGGGCTCGTTTCTGGCCTTTTCTTATCGAAGCTTTCTGGCTTGATGCTGGGGTATATAGGTCACAAGTCTCTAATAACAATATCTACTGATTGGGAAACAGGCTAGATGATAGTTTAATCATGGTTCATCATAAAATTCTCCGTGGAGAATGTGCTCGATGTGCTTGTTGAGTACTTCCGTAATATATATAGAATCTAGAGGAACATGCTTCCTAAGCATAATCTTCTTGGGTCTAACATAACCCACGGTTAGACGGCCCACACGGTCAGGCGGCCCATCTGGTTATCCCATATAAAAAATATCTTTTTGAATCTATTATATCTCAACGAATACTGAATCTAATCAGTTCTAACTTTGTATATAAATAATATATAACAGAATAAATAATACATCATTTTTCTAGATTATTAAAAAATTTTATTATAGAATATATATTAATATATCCAAAATTACAGATAAATTACAGATTTTGTAATATGATAAGATACTATTTAAATTTATATAAGTTTTTAAGAAGTATTAGATAGTTATTTATATAATTTAGATTCTATTTATATAATATTAAGTCTTCTAGTCTTATAATAGTTGAGACATCATATATTTAAACAGAGTCTTATATAGTATTACCAGCTGGGCCGCCTAACCGTGGATTATGTTAATAGCGGCTATTTTTGCAAGAGTCAGGGGAGAATTAGTAAGCAGGTTGAAGGATAGACTGCTTACATCATATCCGCACGTCAAGCCCGAGTAATTGTACAGCCAACAGATTAGTTTCACTCATGAAGCGTTAAAAATGTTGTCAGAGAATACAAAAACGGGTTATTTATTATGAAATGTTATTTTAAGTATGGTTAGGGCCTCTGGAGAGTCCATCTTTGCATGAAGATCACCATTGCTTAACATTGGGATACCATAAAGCGATACTATATATTTTATGAGCTGCATCCAATAGGTGAGGAGTTTTAATTGTTCTGCTGAATCAAAACCTAATTGAATTGGGTAATTGACTCGTTATGTCAATTAGTTGCGTAGAAATGCTGATTGAACGCTCAAAGACTTGGATTAAATGAGCCGGGATGTAGAGTAGCATAATTCATTGGTCATCATGGTCTAGAAAATAAAAGGTCTACAATTTAGCACCTTTTGTATTGCGTAGGAAGGCCAATGACTCCGCCATCACTTTCTCCCATTCCTTGGTGGGCCGGGATTTCTCTGCCGGCGACAAATCTTCCCATCCGGCCGCAATGCGATCCTCATCAGTCCTCCATCGTTCCATCTCTTTCTGGATCCATTCTCCCAAAGTGCTTGCAGTCACATCCACCTTCTCCAGAGGCAAAGCATGACCAGCACCCTTAACCCATATATGTCGGACGCGATCGTACAACACACCTCCACTTCCTCCAATACTACTTCCTGTTCTTTCTGCCATGGTAGTATGAAGTCCAGATTTGAATAATGGGCTCGATGCCCCACTCAGAAATAGAGCAGAAGGACGAAGGTGTGGTAGCAATTTCCCAGCCACAATAGGTTCAGGCCGATATGCTTGTTGACCAGGTGGCAAGCCGGCCATCACATCAGGGAAGAACAGGGGATCATGAGGGGGCTCTGTAAGGCGGTCGTTTGTATTTTCAGTTCGTATACCCAGCTCCTTATGCCGGTGTGGGTTCGCACGCGCATAGATAAGTGCCTCCTGGAACTTGGTTGTTGTCAAAGTAACCGGCGCCTCAGAGCCAAGCGCACCGTCCTTGGGATAAATGGCGGTGGGAAGTTCCCGATAGCCCCACTGGAACCAGCGTTCGAGGACCCGGGAATCCCAGGACCGCAGGTATTGCCGAGCCTTCTCTTCCGCTGCGGTCCGTGAAGGCCAAACATCGCGCTTGTGCTTGGTGAGGTGAACGAGAAGCGGAGCATCTGCGTCAGTATTCTTCTCGATAATGTATGGTTCGATAAGAATGAGAGATTGAAGTATGCGGGGATGCATCAGGGAAAGAAAAACCCTGGTAGGACACTGATTAGAAGGAATCGCACCTTTGGGATAGGTAAACTAACAGCTGCGTTGCACCAAGACTGTGCCCAACCCCCATTATGGGTCGGGTCATCTTGTGACGGAAATGATTCATCATGAGAAGTAGGTCCCGACTGTGATCGAACGCCGATGCTGCTTCAATTTAGCCATAAACGCGTACAAGAAATTAGAATTGATGCTACCACTGACGGTCGTTGCCCAAAACAGCTTCATTAGCAATACCACTGACACCTTGATTTGTAGCATCAGCAATCCAGATAGAGCCGATGTTAAATCCTTCCTTTCTGCTCCTGGCATAAAGGTCTTCCCAGAGGGGCTCGTAGAGTTCCTGTACACGTCTCAGTACTTATTCTCATTGCCATGTCCGGTCCCTTACCTTGGGAAAACCCGTCCCGTGGGCAGCGACAATTGTCAGGTCGCCATTCTTGGGGTCTGGGTTATTTATGGGGGTATATTGCTTGATGCAGAGTTTTAACGGAGTATCTTGGCTGGCTGTGGCTCGAGGATATTCTCTCATGTATTGTGCGTCTATAACATGGTCCGTGATAAGATAAGGGTATGACATCTTGCTAAACAACCCAGCATATGTTCCTGCTGCTATGCAAGTGTCTGATTGTCAAGTGTGTGAACAGCTAGGATCTGTACGGTATTTGGGTGCCCGTATAAGACGCCTTTATGCGAGAATAAACCCCCTCCCCCCTTTGACCCCCCGATCGGACAATGAGTCGGAGGGCCGATCCTGTAAAGTTTGGTTTTCATCACCTCCCCACTATAATTTATCAGCACGGTTTTGTGGAGTTCTGACTCGTTGTCGGGAATATTCCATCTTCGCCAGACAAGATCTACTTTAGATCGGATCCACATGGGCTGTGACGAACCATTGGGACCAATGGTTACCGAAGTTATGGTCCGCGCACACATCCGAAACGAACAAGCGACTTCGACGTCCTGTGCAGGATTGGATCCCTAGGGACCAAAATACCCATGGCATATGCAGGAGGTTATTGAAAGGTTGGATAAGCTCTGACGAGCTTACTCCTGCCAATGCTGTCATTATGAATCTCCCACAGTGAGATGTCCTGTGCCGGCCATTCCGATGACTCTTCCCGCTGTTCTTTAGCGCGACCCACTCCTCTCCACTCCACATCTCAGCTAAGACTCCACTGTTCAGCTATGGGGTGTATCAAACTGAATGATCTGTCCGATTGCTTTCTCAATATGGCAGAGTAGAATGATATGATGCATCCATCAATGCTCCACCGCGGACTCAGCTCCTCAACTTAGAGTGGGCAGTGAGCGGATCTTTCAGGGTTTACTCTCGAGGCTCATGACTTGTGTAGGTTTGAACCACTGAACTACTACTTTGTTTATACCATGCAAAATTTTCAGCTCCGTGCACGTATGCGTAGGGTGCCAAATCGCTACCCGAGTCATGGTTTATCACATCGAAGACCCTCCGCTCTTCACAAGGTCACTTCCACTTGTCCAGTCTTACTCCTGTCATGAGGTCTTCTTTTGAGAATTCATCTAGCTTGCAGCCTAAGGAATCACCCTATAACCAATGATCATGGATTTCTATCTCATATTAATCGGCGTGATAGCACTCGTTTGCTATGTAGGTCATGACCATCTGGATATGCTGCATTTTCTGACAATAGAAGGCGTTGTCACTTGCCACATACCGACTCTGTTTCCATCCGCTAGCGAGGTTCCCGGGACCTTGGATGGGAGCTTTGACCGATTGGTACGCAGCATTCTATGCATGGCGAGGTGACCTACACATGATGGACCTTGAATGGCATGAGAAATATGGTAAGTGATGTGGCATATTGAAATGAACCCCAGAGTAACCGGCCCGCAAACACAATTAGGTGAAATCGTGCGCTTTGGGCCAAATTCCCTCTCCTTCAACTCCTCCAAGGCTGTGAGCGACATTTATGCAGTCAGGGCCAATGTCCAGAAGTCAGAAGGTTACGCATCAATGAGCCCAAGTCGATATACCCCCAATACCCTCACCGCGATTTCTAGGAACATCCACACCTTCAAGCGTCGCATATTGGCGCAGGCATTTTCAGACCAGAGTATCAAAGATATGGAGGACAGAATCCAAGAAAAGATATCCAGCTTTGTCGACAACCTTCTTACGGATACCAATTCTGAATCTGGGTGGAGCTCTCCTAAGAATATCTCGCAAATGTGCGACTGGCTAGCTTTTGACATAATCACTGATCTGAGTTACGGCAATGATCTTGACATGTTGAACTCAACTGAAATGCGCTGGTTCCCTTCCGTGATTCGGAAAATATCCCAACGGAGCCTAATAGTGTGTTCCTTCACCGATTGATATCCCGAATACCAGGATAGACCTAACATATGCCGTAGGGACTCTTTCAACCTTATTTCATAAAGTTTAAGCTGGATTGTCTGCTTTTAAGGCAAAAGTACAAGGAGATTTTGGCTGCGGCGAGGTGGACACGCTCCCAGTCAGCTGCACGAATGGAGGTTGGCAACAATAGTGAACAGAAAGACATCTTCAACGCAATGCTGAATGCAAGAGATAAGAAGACTGGATTGCAGTTTACTCGAAAAGACTTAGGTCTTGAGTCGATGCTCTTGCTCGTCGCAGGTATGTTAAAGAATATTTTGCAGAGAAGCTGCGCCTACTAGAAACAGCTAGCCTTCACCTTCCACTTACTTTATGATGCTGAGATGTTCTAGGTTCCGATACAACCGCTACTGCTCTTTCTGCTACAATAAATTACATCATTCATGATTCAAATATCTTGGCGCATCTGACAAGAGTTATCCGAATGACGTTCCCTGCGGAGTCCTCAATAACAGCATCTTCTGTCCTTGCATCTCCGGACTGCTCTGTCTTGCGAGCTTGCATCAATGAAGCAATGAGACTTACGCCCCCTGCACCTAATTTGCTCCCGCGAACAGTCCTCTCCGGTGGCATGGAAGTCGACGGCATTTATGTACCTGCAGGAACAACTGTCGGTGTAGCTGCCTATACCGTGCACCGTAACGAAACATACTTCCACGATGCAGATAGATTCGAGCCTGGAAGGTGGCTTGATGGCAATGAGATGAGCCAACAGAAGATGCAAATGGCATTTGTTCCATTCAGTGTTGGACCAAGGAAGTGTGTTGCTTGGAGACTAGCCTGGACAGAAGTAAATCTAGCAATAGCAAGGGTGTTGTGGAGATATGACCTGCGTCTTGCAAGAAACAAGCGTTGTTGCAAGGAAGATACCAGTTGTGAGTATGACTTCAAGGCTGGAGTAACTACTGCTGTTGATGGGCCAGTGATTGAATTGAGACCTAGAATAGCATGAGTGTTATCTGTCTATCTATTCGAACAGATATAATCTAGTATGAATTACGATACCATGGAGATAAATTATTGATGTCATGTGAGTTTACAGATGTGATAGATCAAGGCAGTCTATATCAGAGAAGTAAAGAGATTCTAGTAAAATGCTATTAGGGTGCCGGACCCCAAGTGGAAAAACAGCATAGATGATAATATTATCTTGATTAATACATATAGACTGGCTGAGGGCCAGGTCAGTTTAGGTAAATTGAAAAATTCTGGGATATGATGGGGTACTATGAAAGGCTTGTCTCTATTACAAGTATTAAATATGAATTTTTATTTTGTTTTCTTTCGATATTATGATTAATTGTCTTAACATAACTCGCGGCCGCGCCGGCCACCGGCCTGCACCAGTCACCCATCTACTATACACCCAACATATTTGAATCTATATATAAACACCCCCCCTCCTTTCCTTTACTTGAAGCTATTCAACCACTAATTATACTACTAAAATAATCTAAAGTATTAAAAGATGCAGCGGAGCAGGAAGGCAGGATTCTACTTATTATTAAAGTCTTATAAAAGTACTTATAAATTAAGTTATTAAAGGCTGTGAGTTAGCACTGGATAATATAGTAATTCTAGTAAAGAAGAACCAGAATCTACATGCTGTACATGAAAAGTAACTTTTAAAGAAAAAATAATTAAAGTAATAAATAATTTTTAAAAAAGGTATCTTGATCCAGGAAACAAGAATTAAAATATAATAACTAAAAAAGATCTAGATAAAGAAAATAATATTTTATTTATCTGCTCGGGTATCTCCCCATTATAGTAAATACTATATAATTAATTATAAAAGAAATCAGTATTTAAACCTCTATAATAAATAATAATATATAGGCTTTGCTGATAATAATATTGTTTAAATAGCTCCGTTCTTGCTTGTATTAGATATATAGTAGATGGGTGGCCGGTGCAGGCGGGTGGCCGGCACAGCCGGGAGTTATGTTATGTGATTTAAGATAATAAACACTCATATTATCTTCAACATCTCTAGTAAGTATCGGTACATGGGTATTGAGGTTAAATACATTATCTGAATTAAATTTTCTTCTACAAGATCATGAGAAGGCCCGCTAGAGTCTTTAGTGATTATATTCTTGATAGCTTATACACTATTAAATATTACAACTTCAGATTATAATATAGCACTGAGGTCACGATACACGCATTCATTCTAAAATGTAAGTCTTGAAGGAGTTTGCGGGTAAATGGCAGTAGACTACTACTACATGATTCACTGGCTGGTGGTGTCATATGCGTCATCCTTGCTCTGCAGCCTTCCATCATTTCCTTACAAAGCCATAAAAAGCCTAAAACTTGGAGAATAGGAAGCTACCCTGCCTTTATGCTAGGCAACTAAACATTGGATCATACCAGTAATTCTGCCCTGATTGGCCGATCAATTTTTAAACCCCGCAATGCAGGTCTTCCCTGCCGGGTTCCACCGGCCGAGTTTCCCCAACCGGCTGCCTCTAATAGGAATCATACTACGATTGTGATTTTAACGTTTCCGAAGAAAATTAATTATCAAAAACAGTCTGTTTGCAAGCAGGTCGAGAGACATATCTCAATGGCACGCAAGCAGATGGAATGTGTATTAAGAAGATTAAACGGGCAGGCTACTGGCCAAGCTGTTGGGTGTGAGTGGAACGCTTCATACGGCCAGGGAACGTTGCAGGACCGGATTAGGATTCGAAGGGTTAGTTTGACATTGGATTTCATTCTCTTTCATCCGTATTACTTGGCATTGGTACCTTCCTCTTCTATCATAGTATTCATCTCTCACTCCTAATCTAGCTAGGAACTCCGGAAGCATTTACCATGATCCCTGAGCCCCTACCGAGCTACCACAGAATACGATGATTCCACGTCAAGCGTGGTCTGCACTGAGATAGCCGTGAGCGTCAGGGCCGTCTCATCCTCTCCAAGTCGCTTGCCGCGCTTGCCGCTCGAATGGAGACTACCGTAACGTTTGTAACTCTCCTGCAAACTCTCGTCTCGGGAAGCGCCATTCGTGCTGGAGGCAGTCTTCTTTATGAGTGTGATAACCGGTCGGAGCGAGGGTAAGCATGCTATTTCGTAATTAGCCTGTAGAAAGTATATGGCGAACGGTTGAAGCGGCAACACACCAGACACGATCCCGATGTTTGTCTCCACCGCCGTCCATTTCGAGGGTCCGACAAAGACCCATGTTTCGTCCAGCGAGGGTACCTTGTATGCATTGAGCATGATGACGAGACGCACGATCGAGATGATGCAAATGCTGGTTTTCCCGACCCGGTTAGTTCGATGTTACTACAGCTATTGGGGGTAGAAAGGGGAATAGGAATGACAATGAACGTACAATCCACCCATAATAAACACTCCAGTCAAAGCTAGCTTCTGCGAAGCACTACGCTGCAGCTTCCAAACATAAGGCAGCGGGAGGGTCAGGAGCGCCCAGTCGGTGAGGATATTGGGGACGGCGTTGCCGATGAAAAAGTTGTTGACATTGACGCCGCAGTGCGACGGGATGGTCTTGTCCCAGAATCCATGCACCGGGAGACACTGGAAGATGGTTGTTAAAATAACCCCCAAGCCCCACCCCGTCACGACAAAAGCGATGAGATAAATCGGGTACCGGATGTTGCTCATGCCGAAGATGCGCCAGTAGAACATCAGGATTGAATATTTGGTGAAACAGATCGACAGCGTGTACAAAATCTCGACGATGAAAAGGTTCAAGAGGAAGTGATGAAGACCCGGGAGTCCATATAAGTAGATGTGCTGCCCTACGCCGTGATTGACCCAGTCGATCATGGTGGCGTAATTCGCTGTTGCTGTGAGCTGCACAAGTCCGGTTAGTGGCTTGCATCCCGCTCAGTGGGGATGGGGGAGGCTGAAGCATGAAATGCAAAGGGAAGGCCAAGAGCGAGGGGGAAACATACCATCGCGATGCAGACCAGGTAATCATCCCACCACAGACCTGCTTTGGAGATCAGCGTGCGCGACACGATGCGGAGACCAAAGGCCAGGAGAGCCAAGGCATAGGTGACGGAGTAGGCTCCATACAGTTCCGGACGCTTGGATTCCGTCAGGTCCAAGCCGGCTGGAGGGGTGAGATCCATGGTATAGCACTTCCAGGTCTATCAATCAATCCAAATCGACAAGACAACAGTCAGCGGAATCTGCGCGGATTTATAAACATGGGGGCTTCGATCTTTGGGCCCCACGTAAGACCGACGCCAAAGGGGTAGAAAGAACCAGGGTGTGCCGGAGCTTGACAGGGATTCCTTTAGGGGCCGGATCTCAGGATCCCACCAGGGACCACAACCGACTGCGCTGCCAGATCCCATTACAAATACAGACAGGACCCAATCCTAATCACCGTCAATTCTCTCATCTTCAAGCATCTCTCTTTGTCTGCACCGTAATCATCTCTTCCGAAAGCCCCAGAGCCTCAGAATGACTACTGTCGTCGTGATACCCGGTGCCTGGCTCACGCCGGACTTCTACCAGCCCTTCCTGGTCGCCCTCAATCTAGCTGGTTACCGCACGCACTTGGCAGGTTATCCCTCGCTCAATCCTTCCAACCCTGCCACAGCCGACTGCCAAGCCGACAGCGACGCAATTCAGCGCGAGCTACGCAACTTGGTTGAGGATCAAAGCCAAAACGTGGTGCTGTTAATGCACTCATACGCCGGCATGCCTGGCGCATCGGCTGCTTCCGGATTGTCCAAGGTGGAAAGACAACAGCAGGGCAAGTCTGGAGGAATTCTAGGGCTGATTTTCCTGGCGGCCTTTGTGGTTCCTGAAGGCCACAGTTGCGCCGGTCTTCAGGGCGGACAACTCCCTTCTTGGATCCTTCTCGACAAGGTGAGAGATAACAATGCTGCATCCTGCGTCCTTCTGCCTTCTTTCACGTGGCCTCACATACTCACTGACAGCCCATCCCTTCTCCCACTGCAGCCCTCCGCGCAACTCAACATCGTCGACGACCCAGTCGGCAACTTCGCTCCGGAGGTTGACCAGGCACTCCTAGGCGATCTTAATAGCTACCTGAAACCCCATTCTTCCTTGGCCTTCTTCTCTCCACAGCCTGTTCCGGCCTGGACAGACGCTTCCTACGCCGGACGGCTTGCCTTTATCATCACTACGGCGGACAAGGCGGTGCCCAAGGAGGCGCAACGCTGGATGATTACCAACACCGAAAAGGAGTTCATCGTTAAGGAGATGGAATGCAGCCACCTGGCACCGTTCGTGGATCGCATCCCCGAGACAGTGGGCTTAGTCGACGACCTGCTCCCGGTATTCCAGGCTAAGTGAGAGTGAAGAAATCAATGCTTGGTCTTCCACTCGTCTGTTTTTCCTTTGGTTCCTAGCTGCTTGTAGCTAATTCATACGTACAAACACAAACTCCAAGCCGCCTTGATCCGCGGGCATCCAGGCCACATCTTCCACTTGCAAGCCCCAATCCCGCCGTAGATCCACCTCGCGCACCTGCATGGTCCATTCCGTGGCGGTTGCGCGCTGCACTGATTCCCACAGCGCGACGAATGAGTCGCGATTATGGAAGAACATCGTGCCCCAAGGTCGCACATCCTCGCGGGGCTGTCGCCGGCCCTGTTGGTATCCTACCACCTTCGTGCCCGGGCGTGACAGCTCAATGATCCGCCGGATTACTTCCCGCTGATCGGTCAGGTCGAACAGGTGGATGAACTGATTAGCGATGATCAGGTCCACGCTGCCGCGCAGCGGAGCCAGGGGCGATGATTCGGCGGTGATATCGAGGGTGCGAAAGTCGCCGGCCACAAAGTGCGCTGCCATGCGATCGCGATCACGGAACAACTCGTAGCCTAGTTCCCACAGGCGGGGTTCCAGGTCAACCGCCCACCAGCGCGCCGTCGGGGCGCCGTCGGGGTAGGCGGCGTGGGCCGCCAGCAGCCGCAGGTCCTGGCCAAGTCCGCACGCGAGATCGAGCACTATTGCCTCTCGTGGTTGTCGTACGAGGTCCAGAATCGAGGGAAATTCAGGGAAGCCGGCCAGGCCTGGCAGCAGGAACATCCATTGCCCGATGCAGGGGTATTGTCCGACAGGCCAGGCTCGATCTCGCTGCAGATTGGTCAAGGCACAGCCATTAGTAGATTAGCACTCTTCCCGAAGTGTCGCCCGGTGTATGTGTACATTAGATACGTGGGTAGGTGCAGGGCAGGGTCCAACTTACGACGCGGTGTAGGTGCGCAGGAAGGTCAGTGTCGGCGATGCTACTCCACCGGTTATAGACGAACTGGCAAGCAGGTGATAATCGGGACCCCAAGTCGCGGTGGTACCAGACAGAAGGATCCATAGTCTTGAACCAGAAGGGAAGTGGATGAGTGGCAATGGCGTGAACGGATGGATGGGATTGATGGATATATTAAGTCGGAGATTGCCTTGCCATTCAGTTACATTTCCTATGGCCCCAATTCCTTCGCCTCTACTTAGGGCCGGCGCTACCGGAGCGCTAATTCTTCGGACTCTGCATGGCCCTCGTATTCATTTAAACTACATCCTTAGTCGGTCGTGCTCCGGCCCCCAAACCCCCTCTAACTCGCCAATTTCAGAGACTCTGGTGCCGTACACCCGTTGCATGTACGCCAACCATTGGTCTTCAGTGAAATGATGGCCAGCAGTGCAGCCTTTTACCACCGTCGTCAACCATCCCCGCTGGAAGGCGCCGCGCACTGTGGCATCGACACAGACATCTGTGAACAGCCCCACCACCACCAGGTGCTCTAGATTCTGTTCCAGCAGATAATGTTCGAATCCGGGAGCTAGGAATGGGTCATAACAAGCTCGCTTCTCAAACTGACGTTCCTGCGCACGAGGTTGTACCGCCCCGAACAGCTCGGCTCCCCATGTTCCGCGCAGACACCATGACGTGCGATGTTGTTCATGGTCGCGTTGGCGCCAGCCTCGCGGCTGATATTCCGGATCTCCATGGAATCGAACCCAGATGACTTCGGTATGGGCTTGGCGGGCTTGATCCACGAGCTGTGCAATGTTGGCACTGACCCGCTCCATGTCGTGCGGATGCGGATACTGCGTGACAAAGTCGTTTTGGAAGTCCACCACAACCAGCGCGGTATCGGATGCAGCTGGTGCAAGACTCGCTGGAGGTGTAGCAGCCGATAAAGCCGCAGCAGCATCCAAGAATCCTTCCACAAATGCCAAAGTAGTGGCCGAGCCGCCCTGATCAGGGGTCTGTAAGCCCTGGACGGCTAACTGATGGAGGGCCAGATCCGTGATACGCTTGACTCCCACACAAAGCGCTTTGTCCTCCAGAATTGTAGCGACGGCCCGGATCGTTGCAGTGGGATTGACAATGCCCTGTCGGGTCAGATCGTCCGCTGATCCATGCGCCGTCTGCCATTCGCTCAGCCCCTGCACCGTCGGATGCAGATAGATGTTTTCTGCACATGCTCCCTCCTGGGCCCCGAGCCCAAACCGGTCCAGAAGCACTGTCTGCATCAGATCTGCATACTCATTGGCAGCGATAAGCACCTGGTGGCCCTCGATCCCTCCAGCTGCCAACAGGTTCCGGTTCATGGTGTCTCCCTGCACGCAGCGGACGGTGACCCCGTGGGTCTGCTCCCAATCGCGCGCCCACTGTAAAAATAGCCCGTCAAACAGGTGAAATTTGTAGACGAGTGTGATAGTGTCGATAGCAGCTGCCGCCCCCGTTATTCGTGCCTCCAGGAGCTGCCGCGCACGAGTCAGGCCGAAGGCGATGATACGGTCGAAGATGACCTTGCGAAAATGGACAGTGCGCGACACGGCCTTGCCATCCTTCTCCACCTCGTTGATTCCCCCGTAGAATCCTTGCGCCTGGTCACGGACCAGCACCAGCGACTTGGTCGGACTCTGCCAGTAATGCTCGCACTTAACGGCTTCGAGCTGTTCGCGCACCATATACAGCGCCTGCGCCGAGATCGAGGTGCGGAAGATGGCTCGCACGCCTCGCGCGGCGGCCTCCTCGCAAAACTGCCGGTAGTGGATGGTGTCCTGCCGCGTTTCCTCGGTCACGGCGTCGGTCTCATTAGCGGCGAGCAGCGACGAATACGAATTGTAGATCCGATTGGAGCGGAAGAAGTCGATCTTTGTCCCATATGGCGTGGCCAGGGCGTGGATGACTTGCTCGAACACCGCGGCCAGTTCCGGGCCTGTGCCGGCGCCGACGGCAAGTCCCACCACAAGTGATGACATGGCTGACATGATTTTATGCTGTAATTTGCTCGGTCAAGGCTGTGTCCATCCATGTCTGTCTTAAGGGGGGGGGCTGAATTTATGGTTTTCAGGGCCGTCTATATGGCTTACTCACGGATCATTATTTCTGATTATATACCCTAGTGGCTTTTGCTTCCGCTAAGCTTAGAGGGACCGATGCACCGGTCATATATTCCTGTCGTGCCACCCACACTCCCTTTCACTAAATTCCTAAGTCTCATACCCAGACCACAAAAGCCAAGCCCAAGCAATGACCGTCTTTACTCAAGCGGCTGGCTTTCATCTAGCCGACGGCAAAGGGTATACCCTGGGCCACGATTCCCTGGCCATGTGCCGCCTGAACCTGCAGATCTTCCTGTGGAGGGCCTCACTTGGATTCACCCTGCACCCCTCAATCCCCCTCCCCACCACTGGGCGGATTGCCGACCTGGCCACGGGCACGGCGCTGTGGTTGACGGAGTTGGCGCAGACCCTGCCCGCCGACGCCGACGTGCAGCTGGACGGGCTGGACCTGGACCTGCGCAAAGCACCGCCCCACCCTTGGCTGCCGGCCAACGTGCACCTGCACCACGCCGACATTCTGGCCCCATTGCCGGATCCTCTGGTCGGGCAGTACGAGGTGGTACACCTCCGGCTGCTCATCCTAGTGGTGGAGAACAGCGACCCCACCCCGATCATCCGCTACGCCCACCGCATGCTCAAACCAGGCGGTTACATCCAGTGGGACGATCTCAACTACCCGGACACCCACGTCACTCGTATCGATCCAACGTCTCCTACGCCCGCTTTCGACCGCCTGCGCGAGTTCGTCTATTCCAAGGGCCGCCATGACTGGGTTATGCGCCTGGACAAGATCCTCACCCGCGAGGGCTTCGTTGACGCCTGCATGCACCACTTCACTGACCGCAGGGACTTGATCATGGCCAACGGCCACCAACATCTGATGACCATGCTGGAGTTTGCTGAGACCCTCCGGGCTAAGGGTTTGGAGCTGGAGGCCCGTGATTTGGACGTGCTTTTGGCCGAGGTCAGCACCGAGGCTGCCCGGGGCGCTGCTCTCTCGATGCCTCGTGTGGTCTGTGTCGCACGCAAGCCATAAGGTCTACCTTCCCTTGTCTACTTTGGATTCAAATCTATAAGAGTTGCGGGGGAGATCCCCCGGTGCTCCCCTCGATTTCAACTTCCCAGCACACAATGTTATTATCGACCATAACCAGACATCCCGGAGAAAACGCCCTGCAACTCCGTTTCTTTACTGTTGCCTCCCAGAGCAGGAATATCTTTCTCCCATACGATTATTCCAGAATGAAACCATTGTTCGATTTGTCGGAATCACTATGCCTCTCTAGCCACTACCACGATGTACCTGTATAAATATATTAACTCTGACTAGCAGAGCAGCTGCTGGAGTGGCTATACCTAATATTACATAACTTTAACCTGTCCAGCAGCTGACGGTCAGATCAAGAAATAAAAGTCTTATACAGTTAAGACAGAGTGACAAAATAATTAACATTCAGGTTAGAAACCAAGCTCTTATAAAGTGTAATTCGGTATGATTGTATTGAGTATTTTGGGTCTTGAATTTGGACTTCAGTGAGAAAATAATATTTAAACATAAATTATGTTTAAGTTACAAGCTAGTATATCTGGTCTATACGGTTACAGATTAAAATAGAGTTTTTTAATTTTTCTGTATGGTGTTCCACATATTATATATAAATATACCAGTAGTTAGGCAGCACCTCCAGTGCTGCTTAATGCTTATACTTGACAACATAGGGGCCCGGAGGTGTGCGTAGAGAGGGTCACAGTTAGACATGGCAGGGCTCGCCCGCGGGTGTCGGGCTTGAGTTTATAATATTTTTATTTTATTTTTATCTTTTTTTTTCCAAGATAGTGGAGCAGCTTAAGAAGAATTTACTATAAATTAATCTAAATATTAAAGATTAGATTTTATTAATAAAATAAAATTATAATAATTTAAGATTATTTTAATATAGTTTTTTTTTTAGTTATTATTTTCTAGGATCTCCGGGATATAAATAGTATTCTGGAAGATTAGATATTTTTAAAAAATCTTATTCTGAGAACAGAGCTGTATAATTTATATTATAAGATTTTTTAATATAGCTATTACTATTATTTCAGGTATATTAATCTTATTTATATAGTTTAGAAGATAATATACTTATATTATATTAAAAATTATAATAAGAAATATTATAAGATTAAGTTACAACCAGGTCTGTATAAGTATATTAATTATAAATAATTTTATTAGATTAATTTAGAAAAGTATTATATCTGATAAGAATATCTTGATCAAATAAAATAAAGATAAAAATAAAAGAAACTTATCTTCATAGTTTTTAAAATAATTTAAAAGTATATTTTTTAATAGAAGCAGCCTGATACAGATAATCTAATTATATATATATTTAATTTAATTTAATTTAATTTAATCACTCCTGTAGTAATTATAATTAATATAATTTTTATAATATTAGTTTTCTTTATAATTTTTAATATTTATATTATAGTTCTACCAGTGCCAGCTTCTATAAGAAATCTGGTATATAATTTAACTAGAACTTTTATATAAAGTTCTATGAGAAGTCTTATATAGAGTTCTATATAAAAAAATCTTATATAAATAATATAGATCAGAAATCTTCTGGTAGTCAGATTTATTGTTATAGTTAATTCTATTACTATAATAAAAACAGATAAATAATTCTAGCTAGATTTTCTGGCTAGAATATCTAGGAAAAGTCTTCTGGTAAGAAATAAAACTAAGCTGTTATAGTAACTGCTTGAATAACTTTAGCTAGATATTTTAGTTAAAATATTTTAACCAGAATTTCTGATAGTAGTACTGTAGATCATAATACTATTAATTATTTATTATAGCAGATTTTTGAAGTATATTTTAATTACAGCTGTAATACTAAGCTTTATATTATTTATTAAAATAAATAAATTATATAAATAACCATACAGCTGTATTTTATTATTTATTAAATTATATCTTTTTCTAGGTATAATAATAATTAAAATCTTTTTCTCAGATTACTTGCAGGCAAGTATTCTGAGTATTATAAAAAAATAATACTATAAAAGTCCAGAAAAACTCAGACTTAAATAAAATATTATATATATAAATATTTTAAATATTTCTGAAAAGTAATTTTTTCCAGGCAGTTATTCACAGAATTATTTATAAAATTATTTAAGAAGTTAATTAAGCAGTTAATTAAGTAGTTAATTAAAAAGTCTAGACAGGCCTGTTCTAATATAAAACTCTAATATATTTAATTTTATAATTTTTAGCTAATTACTAATCTGGTAGAGTAAGTATCTATATTTAAAAAGTAATTTTAAAAATTTATAAAATTTTTTAAATAATAGTAATAACAGCCACTGCAAGATCTCTATTAAGATTTATAATATAGAAGACAGTATTTTACTGGTAATTAAAATTATAGTAAAAATAAAGTTACTGGTACTGCTTTTTATAGAGATATTTAAATTAATAAAAATAAAGATGATTAAATTAACCCAGGTATCTAAATTAATAAAATTAATGAAATTATATATAAAAGTATATCTTTATAAAGATTTATAAATCTAATCTTATGCTTTATCTTCCAGTATAAGATTATTAATTATTTAATTTAATATCTCTTTAAACATACTGCTAAGCTTTATTAATATCTTAGATATTTTAATTAATATATTAACTAGTATTTTCTCCAGAACTCTTTCTAGAATTGCTGATATAGTATTTATTATTTTATTTACTATTTTTTTCAGTATTATATCTAGTATATTAATAACTATATCTAGCTGGTATATATATTTCCTGTTATTAAGATTTTTAAGTATTTTTTACTCAGGACTATTTTTTAAGACTTAATTTTTTTTATTTATATTTTTATTATCTAATACTACTGCCCTACTGGCAGGATACTTTAAATATAATAAATATAATCTTTATTATTTTTGATATAATCTTCTCTGGAATAATTCCCGGAAATATCTATACTGGATTTATAAAGACTATAATAAATAATATAGCAAGTGGCTTAAGTAATAGTAATATATTAGAATTAATTATTTATTTTATAAATTACTTTCCTGGCTCAGAGAAAAACTTAATTTATAATAAATTAAAATATAGATAATGTAGTCTCAGAGGCCTTATTAAATAAGAATCTAAGAATTTTTTAATATAATATTTAATACTTACTTGATAAAGTCATGAACTTATTATTATAGAATAAATATATATAAAAGTATATAATAATTATAATTTAGAAACTATGAGTCAATACTTGTAGTAAAGATTTAAAAATATATTTTTTAGTAAAGATTAGGAATTATTTTATACAGGTATAGTTTAATAGAAAGATATCCTGTATTTATATATATATATATAAAGATTTTAATTAACAGCTTATATATATATTTATATATATTATTATAGTTAGGATCTGCATGGCTTTTAAAATCCCTGAATAAGTATTATAACTATTAATCTTTATATATTACATATATAATTTTTATAGATTAAGATAAATAAGGAGATCTGTACCCTACTTAAAACTCTAAATATATATAATTTATATTAATAGATTACAGACAAGAATATTAAATATATAGTAGTTAAAAATTTTAATATATATAATTCTCTCTGGAGAGGGCTAAATTATTTTATAGTAAAAAATAATATTTAATATATCTAGAAATTGAAGTAGCTTATGAAATAATAATTATTTATTTATATAACTCTTATTAATATAATCATATAATTAATTTTTATTATAGATTCTGATAATAAGAGTAATTCAGGAAATAGTACAGGATATAATATAAAATTATTAAAGATTTAATTTAGCTTTATTATTAATTTTTATATAATATTATAGAACCTAGTTAATTAAATTAGATATATATATATAATAAATATATACAGGGATTCAGACTATTTATTAATAAAAATTAAATTTGTTATTTTTTTTTTATTTTATTAGAGTAAGTTCTACTAGAATTAGAAAACTCTAGATCTTACTATATTAAATAAGATTTAATAAAAATAATTATTATAGCTGTTAATTATAAAGATAACTAGAAATACTTCGCAGCTTAATTAATATATAATAAATATTATAAAAGTTATTATCTTGATTATTAATCAGGTGGTTTCTTGAATCTATCTGAGTCAGTAGATAAGACCTGGTTTTAATAAAATTTACTAAAAGTTACTACGGCTAAGTAAATATTTTAAATAAGATATTATAGATTATTATATATGTTTTGGCAGTGAGACCCTGAAGTAAATATATATTATATATTTTAAAATATTCTAGACATGTAAATAAATTATATATAAAAATTATAAAATAATTTATCAGCAGTAAATTATAAATATTAATAATATAATTACTGTATAAAAGGCTGTGCAGAAGATTAAAACATAAAAGATTTATTAAATATATATATTTTTATTAAAGATATTAAACAATATGTGTTATCTCCCAGAAAAGAAGATAAAGATTTTAGTAAATATCTTTTTTTTATTTTCTCCAGTAGTTAATCTTAATAATATCCGGGATTTCTGTTATTCTAAGTTAATTAAGATATTTCTATTTAATAAATATAAGATTAGCCAAATTATTAAGATATTTAAATTAGATAAGATTCTTAGCTTAAATATAGTTTTTAATTAAATATTATAAACTGCCTCAGAGATCCTGACTTTTATATTAATTAATCTTTTTAATTATTATATTAAAATTAGTTATTATCTTATTTTTTTTTATAAGATTAAAATAATAGCCCTTTATAAGCCTGGTAAATCTAATTATTTTATATTAAAGATTTATCAGCTAATTATTTTGTTTAATATTTTTAATAAGATTATAAAGATTCTACTGGCCAGCTGCCTCAGCTACCTGATTAAAATCTATAAATTATTTTTAAATAATTATTTTAAAGATTATAAAGAGTAAGAAATAAAAATAATATTATATATAATATTAGAAGTAATCTATACCAGCTGAAAGACAGGAGATATAATATCTATTTTTTTTAAAT